CGTCCCGGCCTGGACGGGGCGGCAGCGCGGGTGGCCTTCTGCAGCCCCTCCTAGCTCCTTTTAATGGGCCATCGTCACGCAAAACTGGAGCATCCGCTTGCCGGTTGTAACTGTAAATAAGGATTAAGGGTACGTCTAGAAACGGAAGATGACAGAAGGATGCATTTACAGGGCAGTGCCCAGGCAGCTGATGGTTTTGTCACTGGTGACTCCACAAACTCACCCTCCCAAAGAAAGGCACGACATTCTTCAGGAAGAAGGCCAGAAGAGTCACAGCCAGCCCTTGCCATGATACCAACATTTCAGTTCACTCCCAATTAATTGGGTAACTTCAGCTCAGAAAGGGAAGCGCTGTGTTACACAGTGCCACCACTTGTCTCACATCGCTGGGAAACCTTTACTCCACAAGCTGGGTACTAGGTCCAACCCTGCTACAAGCGCTGAAGCTGTCGCTTGGGGCCAGCCTCAGGTTGGTCAGGACAACGCTCCAGGCCCAGCAGAAGCTCAGTTTTGACCTTATCTTTCAAGTCCTGATTGAGGCTCTGCCAAAGCCTCTAGAGACCTGAGGAGCTGACCTTGTTGAAGCTCTTGCCCCTCACTGCCCCATGGGTGTCAAAGCCAAAGAGGTGCCTTGGAGCACCATCTCATCCCTGGAGCTTTAAAACAAGGAAGTCTTGATGTGGTACCTGTCTTTCTATATGGATATAGCTTATGCCTCCCCCATTCTCCCTTTATGTATTGTGGCAACCCTTGTCTCCCACATACATTTTATAAGCCTTCCCCAGCATTTTTAGAGCAGTCTTACAAGACACAAGGACCAGCCACAATTACTACAGCTAATCCCATGAGAAACTCCTAAACCACACTACTTATTTCAGGAGAGAAAAAAATGAGCCAAAACACCAAACAAACACCAAAACTCACAGCACAAAGCAAATCTCTCACCTTCTCTTTCCTCAAGAATCAACAAAAAGAACCAAGTGCTTTCCCTGGGCTCCTATTTAAGTCCTTCAACTGTGATGGGGATGGGAGGAACTATTGGCTGATTCCCAGCATCTGGGAGCCGTTTCACCCCAGATCAGGCTCAGCTGCTCTCCAGTCCTTAAAGGACACACTGATACCCTCCTGCTGCTCCCCGCAACTGTCACCATCTATGTCTTTTCAGTTCCCTGCAATGCTCCAACAGTTCTCCCATCTACTCCCCGAACAATCCTTTTCCTTGTCCCCATAGCTCAGCCTTCCCTCCTGTGCTCAGTTTTGGGCCACTCTCCAATACAAGAAAGGCATTGAAAAACTGGAGAAATTTCAGTGAAGAGCCACCGAGAGAGCTGGGGGCTGGAGCATTTCCCCTGTGAGAAGAGGTGGGGGGTGGTAGGCTTGCTCAGCCTGGTGAGAAGAAGGCTTCAGGGCGATGTAAGAGAAGCCTGCCAGTTAACAAGCAGGTTACTGAGCAGATGGAGCCAGGCTCCTCACAGTGGTGCATGGCTTGGAGATGAGGCTGTTGAAAGAAAAGAGGTTGAAACCGGATACAAGGAAAAAAAATTCTTTACCATGACAGTCAAACCTTAGGACAGGTAGCCCAGGGAGATCATACATTCTCCACCCTTGGAGGTTTTCAGTGATAGACTGGATAAAGCCCTCAGCAACCTGATGTGACCTCAGAACTGACCCTGCTCTGAGCAGGAGGTTGGACCAAAGTCCCTTCTGACCTGACCCAGCCTGCATTCTCTTAGGGAAGAGTGGACGAACTGAAATGATAACCAAGTCCAGAGCTTCCTCCCCAGCCGGGCTGTGGGAACCCTCCAGCCAGCACCACCACCTTAGGATCGTCCCATGGCGGCTAGAAAAACCTTGTCAAACGCTGTGAATGTCAAGGGAAAAAAGTAGGACAAAGGATTCAACTGAGTTGCGACAGTGACACGTGCCTGTGCTGGGAGAGGAGGAGGAAGCGGTGGAGCACAGAAGTTAAATGGGCCAAGAGCCTGGACACAATACTGTATCAGCTGCATCACCAGCTGAGTGAAGCTGTGAGATGGAAATACATCCTTCCCCTCTGCCGTCTGCATAGCTCAGTCATGGGAGGGTGCTCAGCTGTGAGAAACAGCTTCTTTTCAGTAAGAGCAACCATGCACAAATTTCATTCTTCCATTATTTTAACTGCCAGGGGAGACTGCGTGAGATGCAGAGAACACAGGACCCTCATTGTGCTGCAAGGGGCAGGTCTTGGCAGCAGCCAAGATGCTGGGGCAGCTCCCACCCCAGCCTCTGCCCTGTAACCAAGGACCCTTCCTCCGCAGGGAGGAAAAAAGCTGTGAAGATGCTCATGTTAGAGCATCTCTCTCTAACAGAAGAGAGATCTCAAATGTATCATGACTCACTCACCTTTCAAAGGTGTCAAAAAAAACCCCACCAAAACCCAACACATCTTAAAAGGTGGAGGAAGGAAATCAAAGGAAAAGTAGTGGCTGAAGGTTTGCTTTCTGGTTTGGTACGTGTGCGGGAAGGCAGCCAGACACGGGCGGGAGCTCAGTCTGGACAGGCTGTGGCCACGGCCACACTCCTACCCTGTCCCTGGCATCCATCCGTCAGCCCTGCTGTGAAGGCAAGCACAGCGCTCCAAAACCAGGAGCGATCGGACCCGGCACGAGCAAAGCATCACTGCCGTCTCGGTTAGCCGGAGCGACGTGCCCGCTCAAAAACGGAAGGAGGGGACGGCGACAGAAGCCGTTCGCTTGGTGTAGCACTGCCTCTCTTGGCCTCCCTTGGCCTCTCCTGGGGAGGAAGTTTTGGGAGGTGTCCCCAACTGGAGGAAATCATATCCTCAAAGGAGATGACTCCCATTCTCCATTCCCCCCGCCACAGGTAGAGGAGATGGTACTTGGGTCTGTAGAGGTACAGAGGTGTTTTTATTTGCTATTTGCACTGAAAGTTTCTGTTCTCTTGTGATCTGTCCTTGTTATCTCAGCCTCCAGGTTAAAAAAGATTAGGTACTGGAATATGCTATGAGATTTTTTGATTCATTGAGGGCCATCTCAGGCCTAAGGATACCTCTCTCTCATTAAAATGTTACTTTCCATCTTAAAAATGGGGTCTTTTTGCTCCTGTGCTCTGAATATGGTGCTGGTCCAGAGCCACACAATGTAATAGGATCATTGCAGGATGAGTCAGGTAGGAGAGGACATGCAGAGGTCATCCTGCTCTGAGCAGGAAGATTGATGAGGAAAGTCCTCCTACTTTCCCAACATGTCCTTCATGACCACTTGTCTTTGAGCAGGAGGTGCTTCTTGCTCCCCTCAACCTCATCCATGTTCTGGATGTCTCACTTGAGTTTACTAAAGTAACATCTGAATTTCAAACCAAACAAGTGCACTTTCCCAGGCTGTAGAAGCTGGGACACAGAGAGCGTTAGTGTGTTTCCAAGAAGAGATGGCAGATTTTACAAAAATTCAGTAAATTGGGATGGGAAAAATATCAGGATCAAGGACAGCTGGTCCGAGAGAAGCTCCAGACCAGCCAACGCAGAGTTTTGCCTGCATGGTTCAACCGCTGGCTGGCTGCCACCTGCACACTGCCTGTAAAGTCACCGAATGACAAAGGGTTTACCAGAATTGGCATCACAAGTGTGAATTATCAGAAGAGAAGCCAGCTTTAGGTGTGCTGAGCGTGTTGCTAAGGCCTCTCTCTTTAGGCATTGCATCCCAATTGAGTTCAAAGCGTGTATTATGGCATGATAGGCAAACGCTCAAGCTCTGTCCAAACAAGGTCCAGAGGTTTAGATGCTCAGCATTTAGGTGCTTGCAAAATATGTTGACCCCTGAGGCTCATGATAAAATCTAAAGCTCCCTTTGAAAGTTAAGTGTTTAACATGAAGGAGCTGGTATCCTATTGATCTGCTGCCAATGTTTTAACAAGGGGATGCCACAAGTATTTCCCCGTGTGAATTTTCCATACTGAATGGGGAGAGACTATAGAATTCATTTTCTTATGTTTGCACAAAGAAGGATTTTCCAGCCAGCATCAAGAAGAGAGAGGGCAGCAGTGTGAAAAGTAAAGAAAGGAATAATGTTCATGTACATTGAAAACGGTAAATAAATACAAATCACTGTGCCTATAGAATCAAGGTCCATGTATGATTCAGGGAGAGTTTATCCTAGAGGTGGGGAGAGCAAGCCCACAGCTCTTCTTCTCCAGGGAAATTTTTTTTTTTTTTTTAATTATTGGCACTTTAGACAATCTGGTGCTCTTCTAAATATAATTTTATTAGCATGAGAAGCCACTTGGCAGCAGTAAACTAATGCTGGTGAGCTTACAGTTTTCAAGACAAAGCGTTCTCTTAGAAGGAAGAAGAAAGAGACGGATTTGGAAAGAAGAGCCTCGCAGCTTCTGCCTAAAACCAGCCTCCACCTGCCATCTTCTTGTTGCAGGCTTAAATGGAGCAATATTCCCTAGCCTCAGCTTGTTTGTCTCTGGTTTCCAAAGGAGATGAGGCATCTGCAGTCACGCTGTTCACCAGCTCTCCTCTCACCCTCCCACAGTAACCTCCGAGAGAGGAAGGAACATGCCTATGGAGGCTGGGTAAAGAATGAAGGCGCCCGCTGCCACCCACCCCCGGGGATGGGGGGAGCTGGGCAGGAGCCCACCGTGTTGCGCTGCTTGGCTGCCCGGCAGGCGTGTGCCCGTTTGCCAGGCAGGACGGGGACAGAAGAGCTGCGGCTGCTGGGGACGGGAGGACACAGCCCACGGGAGCCGTGGGAATCGCCTCGCTTCCCGGGAAGAGGGTGGTGTAACAGCAGAGTACAGCGAAGCCGCGCATTAGGCTTTAGCACGGCTGTATCAAAGCGCTTTTCTGGGTATTACAGAAAAAGGAATCCAGCCAAAGAATCATGCTGAGTTTTATTTTATTGAGCAGAGACAGCAGAGACAAGGGCAAGCTGGTCCCGTGTCCGTGCGCAGGCGTCTGCGGCCGTTGCAGCTCTTGCTGCTCCGTGACAGTGAGGACTCAGCATTTCCCCAGGTGCTTCAATCTTATTTTCCCTCCACTTCTCCTGTAAAAGGAGCAAGACAGACTTAGACAAAGAAGGTATGACAGGCACAGCAGTGTGGGACAAGGAGCTCCTTCGTCCCAACAGGACCATTTGCCCGACTCATGCGACTGTACCCTGGTGCCTCACAGGGAACATCGAGCCGTTTTCTCCTCTCCTTGCTCTTCTCTGATTTCCCTTGGGTAAGGCAGCCTTGAGCGTGCACCAAATGTTAAGGACTGCTAAGGAAAACCCGATGTTTTACAAGCACATTCAGTAGAGGGGTGCTAGCTCCTATTGCATCTCCTTTAAAAGGTGACAGAGCTAAGGAGGAGGAGAAACTCAGGTTCTTCCTCTGAGATTTTGTCTCTTGTTCCACAAAGTCCATTCAGACTTTTCAGGAATAATTTGGCACAGTTCAGCTCCCTCATTCCTCCAGACACTTCTCAGTATCCAGAAGTGTGGGCAGTGGGAGTTGCAGCCTGTGGCATATAGTGGGAAACGTGTATCAGTTTAGTGCGTGCAGAAAGTACAGGCAGGATGCAATCGCCTCCCCGGCCCCGTGCTGCCTCTCAGCATGGCAACCAGCAGCATGCAAAGCCTAGAAATGAATTAAAATTAACTTGCATCAATACAGCTCTTTTCCAAGGAGGAAATATTCCACTTGGCACGATTCAGGGGCCGGTCCATACAAGAGGAGCAGCCTGGATGCAGGGCTTCCCCTCCATGAAGAATATCATTACATACATGGAAATGGAGCCAACTCGGTGTGTTACTTCTCTGCTTTCACTTACAGCACTGCCTTGCAGAAGGCACACTTGTTTCCGTACGTGATGCCATCCGTGCCGCAGTGAGGGTTGGACTCCCTCGTGCAGTACACGCTTCTGTTCACAAACTCTCTACAAATCTGCAAAAGGAATTAAAAAAAAACCAACACCCTTTCAGGACTCCCATACTCACTTTTTCACTTTCCAAATTGGATACAAGTTCACTAATATAACGCTTTTTCTGACAAGAGGACTAAAGCAGCGGTGCTGACACCGCCTGTGTACTGAAAGAAAAAGCCCTCTCAGAAACGAGCACAAGCAGTATTTCAGGGGAATTTTTTCCCCATGTTTGAGTAGGGAAACTGTAGTCACTTGGGAGAAGTCTTGATCTCCCCAGGACAGGAGTGGATTAGTGGATTAGCCTAGGCACGTGGAAGGGTCGGCGCTGGTGCTCTTTCAGGTATCAGGCACCAAGTCAGCTCCGTGCTGCATGGCTCCACGCACCTCGCGGACCCGTGCACCCAGCTTGGTGCTTGCTGCGCCGCCCACCTTCCCAAGGGAAGGAAGAGAAAACCACGGGCTGTGGGGAATTCAAAACGGTGTCCAGGAACCGTACAGGTATTTTATCTCTGGACAAATCCCAGCGATGGACCTTGTTTGGGGGGATAAAACACTCCCAGTAGCCCATTTGTTTCGGGAGAAGATTGGGCAGCGGAGCGAAGCGGGCAGGAGTGGTGCTGCGCACAACCGCAGCCCTGCGCCAGCACCCTACACCCAACCGCAGCCCTGCGCCAGCACCCTACGCCCAACCGCGGGCAGCATTCGCTAAACCAACTGCCTGTTTCCCTGGCCGGCTTGCCAGTGTGGCCACACGTTACATCCCCCGAACAACAGTGAACTCCCAAAAGTGTTGGGACTTCTTGGAAGGACCCACCTGCTCCCAGCAGACATTAAAAACTGTTTACCACACACCCAGATCTTGGTTACAAAACCATTCCTCTAGAAAATGCAGATTCGGGAAGCAGAAACAGCTGCACTAACCTCTTCAATGTCTTGACCTGCTACATCTGGAATAAAAAAAAAACAATAAAAAAACAAACAGATTTTACAGATCAGCATTATTTTCAAATAGAGGCTGAACTAAAGGGACAAACCCTTTATGCAAACCACAGTGAAGCATACACCGGGTTCTTCCTACTCCGTCATCCTGTGCGGCGGAGGAGGGGGCAGGAAATACATTATCTGAATTGCTTTTCAGTATTTTGCTTTTTTGAAAAATGTTACTAAAATACCATGTAATCAGTCATTCAGCTGCTAACTGCACCTCAGACACATAACCCAATCTCCTGGAAGGCAGCCACTCCTGGGGAAGCGAGGTGCCATATCGGATCCGGAGCCGTGCTCGACAGAGATTTTAAAGCTATATTGACTTTTAGGCTCCTGCAACTCTAAACGGGAAAAATGGCTGGTACTGCTAACAAGAGCGTGCTGTGGAGAAGGAGAAGGAACCCCCGTCGCCAGCTTTACAGCCATCCTCAGCACAGCCCAGCGGCTCTCCCAGGACAACTCCATCCCGCGCGACGTGCAAAGAGACGTCACGGGGCGATACAGAGCAGAACAGGCAGTGCCGGTCAGTGAGAGCACAAAAATACACGCCGTAACCACAGGCTCCGGGCTTGAAGGTAATCAGCCCATCCTCTCTATATTTCTTCACTGCAAAGACCGCAGTCAGGCGCGCAGGTTGAGTCACAGCGGCACAGGGCGACCCTGCGACGTCTCCGAGGGGGAGCCTGACACCCAAGGGTGGACTGAACGTAGGTTCCAAACACCCAGCATCTCGCACGGCAGCGGCGCAGCAGGGGTTCGGCTGCGACGCTGCTCAGGCGGCTCCGAGCAGGAGAGGTCCTGGGGCGGGAGACGGGAGGACCTTGTCCTACACTTGGGCCCCCACGCATTGGGAATGCCACCCAACCCTCAGTCAGCCAGACCTCATCCATCAGCCCACCCTGCTGCTTCTGCCAACTGTATGGCCCTTCGGTGTTTTATCCCGGGCACTGGCATATTTCTCATGTCCTCAGGTTAGGCTAGGCTGCGTTAATCGTAAAGTCGCTGTTGTGGCTATCTGCATATTATTTACAAAATAGCTCATTAGATAATTTTCATAAATATTACATGCAGCTACACAAGACTTTGTGATGAAGTCTCTTGACATTTGTTTATTTTATAGGAGATCACAGAGTTTGCTGCTATTCTGCCTGGCCTTGGAAGGAAGCTTCAGCACTCTGACGGAACCCAGTCCCAATTAAGACTCAATTAGAGACAGATGAATATTTCATAATGAATAATGTGTACAAAATAATTCACCTCTTTTCTCCATGCACAGCTTGCAATTTTCTCAAGTGAATTCTTTATTCAAATTATTCACAGAAAAACAAGTATAAATAATTCTTGTTCTGCACATTCTTCAATAACTGTCACCACAAACCTTGCAGAGCTGGGTCAGCTGGACACAAGCAATTGATAACACTGACGTGACCTATATGTTCAAAAATCATCATTCAGCTTCCCCAGATCATCAGAGAGATGTGTAAATCTCCAGATAAATAAATGCTGCATCCTTTTAATTTGCCCTCTTTGTTCTGACTCCTTGAGGAAATTTGAATTTAATTTTCAAGCTTTTCTCTGCAACATAAATGAAAGCTGAAACTTTCATCTAATTACGTTTCCAAATCTCCAAGGAAAACACCAAATACCAAGATGCTTAGGATCAAAACAAGAGCTGATGACCCCGAGGTGAGTGAGTTTCTTCTATAACTGGTTCAGCAAAACTCTCCAGTGAACATTTGCACCAAAAAATTCATTATGACACTCTGTACACTTTGGTACGTCTGCTGAAAGAGCCGCTTAGAATTTGCTCGCTCCGTCTCCCAGTGACACCTCCGCTGCGTTATTCACTGCGGAGGCACACGAGGAGTGGAAACATGTCATACGAGTGAGCAAGTCCCACAGATATTTTCTACTTGCTCAGCTTTATCTTCAAGCCTGTCATCCGGTGATCAAGGCTCGCTGAAGTTTGCTGTTGTCAGGAAAGCTTTGGGTTTTTTGGGTTTTTTTCCTAGGCTAGGGAGAAGATCACTTACCCGAGAAGAAAGAGAGCAGCAGCAGGCTGAGAAGCACTAAGGCACCTGTAGCCTTCATGCTGCAGGTAGCCCTTTAGTCCAAGCCAAGCGATCTGTGCGGGAGGTGTCGTCTCAGCACCGGAGCCCGCAGTGCGCACGCAGACCTGCTGTTCTCTGTATTTATGTGCCCGGCCATAGCTGTCCTCATTCCCCACCTTAATTGTGAGAACTTTTCCACTTCGTTTCCAAAGCCATTATTGGTCCTGGCCATCTTTATGGTGCTTTAGGAATGCTGTCCTGTCCACATCAAACCTAGAAAGGGCTAATTATATGAGTGATAGACTCGGGCTTGTAATACCTTTTTTTTTTTTTCTAAATAGTCACAGGATTCTCACAAGGGTGAATTTTCAAAGCAGTGATTCATCGGGGAAGCTGGTAATTTTCATTCTCTGGGCCCTCGCTGAATGCCAGCTCCGAGGCTTTGAGTGCGGCGTGATGACACTCACTAGACGTTACGAAATAAATCACAGCATGAGAATGTGTTGTCTGTGAAACCAATTATACGTTGTTCCCTGGCTATTTTTGAGGATGGTTCTAAATTTGTTGGGTTGGGGTGGAGAAGTGCTCCGATGTGACATGCTCTCATAGCTGTGTGCGCAGTCCCAGATAGGACTGCTGACTCTCCTCCTTGAACTATTTAAACTCTAGCTGTCAATGTTTTCCATTTTTTCTGCATTCACAAACGTATGTTAGGGCTCTGCTCCCACAGCAAGTGGTAATGAAGGGAATTCGATTGGGAATTGGGAGACGTGAGCTCTATTTCCAGCTGAGTCTGTACAAGGATTTGTGTTCAGCTGCACCATTTGCAAAATATCTGTTCAGATAAGAAAAAGCTTAACATTTCAGCACGCTTTCCTAAGGACACAAGGCTTAGGAGAGCAACGTGTATAGATACATCTATTTATTAGTTCCCCCAGTAAATTTTGACTCTGCAACTAGTTCCAAGCAAATTTGACATAGAAATTAAGAAAATTTTAAAAACACAAAATATTTTAATACATTTTTCTAGCAACAGAGGAAAGATGCTACTAACGTCCTCAGCCAGCAAGGGAGAGGGTTTCTGCGGGACAGCAATGTTATGAATGCCCTGCATCTGGGGATGCATTAGAGTTTGCAGCTTGCTAAACACCTTAAAATCCACCCAGCAGAGAAACCGTGACTGACGGGTGAATTCTCAGGTATCTATTAAGGGTGAGCTCACGATGCAGCCTCTCGTATAATTTAGTTATCAAGTCAGCCAGCCGCAGCGCCGTTCAAAATCACGCTTAGTTCTGCCACTCGCAGCACTGCTGGTTTGCCTTCTCCAGTTTCATACGTCACTGCTCACGACCACAGCCTTAATGCCTCAGCCCTTTATCTACCCAAACGTTTCGGTTGCTGCAGCGTAACTGACTGGCTAAAGCCGTCGCAAACATACCTCAGGAGCCGATCCCTTCCGGGCCGAGGAGAGGAAGAGACTAAATTACCAACCAGGTGATTATCGTTATTACCCCTTTCCACTTCTTTATAACATCTGAAACAGGCCACTTGCTGGCATAGGTGAGGAATTCTGACTTCTCTGAAAATCAGGGAAAGAAGAAGAGCACCTGGACCTTGCATTGCAGTCTAAGGGGTGTAGTTGGGTAGGGTCTTGCTGGTGTCAAGCCAAGTACTTATCTGTGCTGGGCCAGTCTTCAGTCTTATGTGATACAAGCCTTTTCATCTTCTAAAGAGTTCTTGCTTAGAGGCGTCTAAGATACAGCCATATACCCAGTACTTGCCATTTGCTCTCCCTTTCCCTGTAGGTGAGCGGCTCTTTTTTGGGCTTTTCCAAAGCCTTCTGAGCTCCTAAGTAAGTATCTGGCTTCCTCAGGCAGAAGACACCACTGCAGAGGAGGTTCACCGTAGGATCTTGCTGTTAAAGACAATTTCCTGCTATGGCCAAAACTCCACTAGTCTGTGGCCACTCTATAAACCTCATGGCCAACAAGAAATTATAGCAGAGCTTTGTCCTGTGCTGACAGGTCTCTCTTCACATCCACTAGCTACTTAGACTGATCCTTAATTATTTTTCACACACACATGAAGCAGGTAAGCAGTGAGGACTCTCCTGACCCTCCAGTTTGTCTTTTCTTAAGAGCAGGCACAAAGGCGTAATGTGATTTATATTGCCTATGTTAACAGAAAAAACCCTGAAAATAAGAAGTTCCATCCCTCTTCCCAGGATAGAGCATTGCTCTATGCTAGCACTAGGGGAAGGACAAGCCTCTTGTCTTCTGGTGGGAAGCACCTACAAAATTCCTGGTCTGATCTACTTCAGGAAACAAGACCCAAAGAAAAGGCATGGAAGTCACAGATTTTGCCCTAAAGCCTTAGCAGCAGATATTCTTGCTACATAACAAGAGAAGGCGAGCTGGAGAAAGGAAGAGGAAGAGAACGTGTGAGACATGGCACTTGGGATTTTTTTGCCTGTGTTGTTTGTATATTAACTCCTTGACGCACCCCAAAAGATGGCACATCATCATGAACATTCATATATATCATTGCTCCTCCAGTGCACTGTTTAGGCTCCCACAAAGATGTTATCTCCATACCCTTTTTCCCAAGACAGAAAGCATCTTGGAGCCACCAGCACATCTTCTGGCCCTTCTTTCCTGGGGTTAGAAAATCCAAGACCTTTTCCTGAAAGGTTCCCTGTCCTACCTCTGCCTCAAATACCCCAAGTGCAACTTTTCAGATGTCTTCTCCAAGAATCTGAAAGCCTGAGCCCAGTCTAATTTCTCCTCGGGTTCTCATTAGGCTCATTACAGCCTTGCCTAGCTTGCTGCAATTTTCTGCTGATTAACACAGTCTCAATGGACACACCCTTCAAGGAAGCAGCAGTTCCTAATTTTCTTCCCTGTGAGATAGCCTCCTCCCTTTGCCATAAGCCTCCTTTTTACAATGCACTGCCAGACCTGCCCCTTGCCCAGGTAGCGCTGACCATGGCCACCTTTCTCCTTCATACTTGCCCAGGCTATCCCCCCATGCCAAGACCCCTAAAAGGACTGGTTCCTCCAAGACTCGGTGTTGTTACAAAGACAAACCCATTTACACTGTATAAGACACCGAAATTAGGAAAGTGGCAGTATTTTATAGCACCTCGGTTTCTCTTCTGATGGTTTGATATGGAGTGATGTACTCTCGCGAGGGCTTGGGCCGGTGTGTGATGGGCGTTATGCTTTGCTCTTTATTGTGGTTTATTTCACAACTTCTCCTGTCTGACAGATAAGTACCTAAAAGCCTGCAGACCATTACCCTGCCCTGAAAAAGAACCCCAAACAAAAACCAGCCCATGGCAGAGTGGCTGTGTTTAATTTATTGATCAATCAAAGCAGAGACCAATGTGGAACAGTCGTGGGAGCAGGGAAGAGGGGGTTCGATTGCAGGATTTGTAAGGGAAAAATCAGGGCGAAGGGTAGGGCTCCGGTGCTCGGGATTCACCACGGTGTTTGAGGAACAGAGTTCCCCGGCTCCACCTGAAGAGAAAGAGGGAGACCAAAATTACAGACACGGATCTCAGTTTTATAGTCTAACTTTACCCAAATAAGATAATGCTTTCACATGCTCCAAGTTACAAAGTACTTAATGTTTCACCTCGTTGCTGATTCCCCAGGTTACAGGCTCTCTCATGAGAAAGAGATTTGGGACAAACCCCATAATTTTGGACACCTCCTACGGTCACAGTTTAAATCATTCTGTCAGGGAAGGAGTCAGCAACGCTATGAGCCTGCAAACGGGGATCCGGATTTAATTGCAAGGGAAGGAGAAGACTTGGGCTTAAGATCTTCAGTGCCTGGGGGGTGACAGAGGAGTGAGCATCAGGAGAGGAACGCGGAGCAGGGATGGATTTATTGAGGGTCTAACGGAAGCTCCAGGGCTTCCATCCACACCAGCTGCCGGCGCTGTGTGTGCGCTCTGGCTTTTCCGGTTTCAAGGCTATGCGATGAGCTCCATACTTACAAAACCGCGCTGCAGAACTGGCACTTGTTTCCATAAGTTTTGCCATCGGAGCCACAAAGGGGGTTATAGTCGGCGGTGCAGATGAGATCGCTACTCTTCTGCTCGCTGCAGTCAATCTGCTAATAATGGAGCAACAACAGGTTTTAAAGCTTTTGTCCCCCGTATTTTCCTGCACGAGTGCTTTATGTTTATGGTATGGCAAAGCATAAACGCACTTTTCAGGTGCAGGGCTCTGTTCTAGCGAGTCTGCAAACTCAAAGGCAGCAAATGTGCTCTCCTGGAATAGCGTGGAGTGGGGAGAAGGTGGGCGGTGGGGGATCTAATAAATACTATTACAAATAGTGAAATGACTGTGCTGGTACTTCCAGGCTGGCCTCCCACGGGCTGCTCGGCGCTGGCTGAGCAGGGTGGCCGAGCAAGCGTGCAGAACGCGGGTGGTCGCCGCAGAACGTGTTCCCACGCGAGGAGTCACCGCTGTTACTGCCGGTGGCGTGTGACCCTCCTGCTCTCCCGCGGAAGGGATAAGGCAGCATCTCTTGCTCAGCCCCTTTCCTGGTAAATGAAGGTCTCGGCACCCACTGACTGCTGCGCTCCCAGGTCAGAGGGGGAACTGCGTATCTGAGTCATGGATTTGGTTCAATACCCTTTGACCCTGCCATGCTTTAACCATTTTCCTCAAATCCGATTTCCGGGCCAAATGCACCAGGACAGTGCAGGCATTTCTACTATTTGGCTACGATTCAGTGAATTTGTGTTGTACGATGTAACAGCAGTTAAGAGTGCAGATTTCTGTGCTTTACCTGGAAGCATTCTCCAACATTGCGCAGGTTTATGTCCATTCCGTTCCTTTGGGGAGAAAGCGAGTTGAGAGTGAATGAGCACAGCACAGACGCTTCGTGAGTCAAACTACCTCGTCAGGCTCTGAATGCCAACACGAGCACATACCGATCCAGAAACCCCTCCCGAGACCCAGCCCCTTCACTTACGCCACAGCGTTGCAGAAGTCGCACTTGTTTCTGTAGGTGAGCCCGTTGGTGCCGCAGATGGGCATGTACTCCAGGGTGCAGGGGACCGCACGTCCACTGCTTGATCTCAGGTAGCCAGTACAGTCGAGCTGGAACAGCCGCAGAACAACATTTCAATCTCTGCTCCCCTTTGCATCCGTCCTGCATAATGGAGCACGGAGCAAGAGACCTCTCCCCCTCTCCCCAGAGCTGCAAGGGAAGAGGAGATTCTAGCCCCAGCGTGGTGGAGTTGGAGGAACACGAACAGTTGAAATCCTGCACATGGGTACAGCGTGATCCTGGGGTATCTGTTTTTCCCTGTCCTCAAAGGGGCTTCATCTCTATCACCTTGGGGATTTTTACCGTGAACACCACCATGAAGGATCTTTGCCTAAAATGCCTTATGCGGCAGCAACTTCCGCTGCGAAATGTCGATGCCTCTTGAAAATGGAGTTTACGCTCACCCCAAGTGTTTCTGCAATTACTCTGAGTGTACTGAAATGGAAGTCGTTGTATTACGTTAAATTGCACAACCAGAGTGTTTCTTTACTTTCTCCCTCTAAGCTAAAAATAGAGATACTTCTCCACTTCACAGTAGCTCCATATATTGATAAACAAATTATAAACAAAATTTATTCATTATAAACATTCTGATAGAATCATTTTTTCTGTTACAAGACTGATTTAGCCAAAATCCAAACTTCCTCTGGGAATTTCTGAGCTTCAACAAGCCTCTAAGTCTAAATCTAGAGAGAAGTGTTTTGATAATGCTGAAACATTACTGAAATCAAAAGTTTCCATTCTTAACTCTGATGTTGTACACAAAACAAAATTTTAAAACTCACTGATTTTAACTGTTCAAAAAATATTTAAAAGAAATTATTGCAAACCTGAAATTCTTAATTTTCATTCCATTTCTGACAGTTTGAAATTGTGTGCTTTTAATACAGAAAAATCCTAGGCGAGGCTTCCGTCTAGGTCTCTGCCATCATTTCACCCACCACTGCTCAGCGCAGCAGGAGGAGGAACCGATCTCAGACTGTACCTTAACACATCTTCCATCGTGCTTCTTGTCGATGGGTCGGTTAAGGCTAGAGGGAGAGAGGGAGAAGGAAAGGAAGGATTCATCTGTTGATACCACGTAGTCATCTCACTCATTAAGTGTCTCCACTTGTAAAGCCCCTGTAATTAATCAGATTCAGGAGCTTTGACATTAGGGAAGACAGAAACTTATGAAAAATCTAGTCCACCCCACAATTAGTCACAACCCCAAAGGCTTTTGTCTGCTGCTTGAACTGGCGTTGTAGGTAATCAGGAGACCTTATACTCACAAGATTTCTTTGCAGAGGGAGCAGTCGTTGGGGTAGGTCACGCTGTCGGTCCCGCAGACGGGTTTGTAGTGGCGGGGACAGGCAAGCTGCAGTTTTCCAGACAACTGGTACGCGCCGCAGGAGGCCTGTTGAAGAGGACTTGTAACATCTCCAAGTGGAGAGAAGGGTGTGCTTGCTTTAATCATGTTTTCGCTGCGTTGGGAGACTACTGTTGGTCATTTTTTTCCTCTGTCGTTCCTCCATGGTGAAGAGAGGGAACAAAACACACTGTGTTTCTTATAGCGTGCAAAAGCACCTTTTGGCTATTACGACTTCCCGTACTTTCAGCAAGCATTGCGGGCAAAAATGATCATTCCTTGGGGAATCAAGACAGGGAAGAAATTTGGGCAGTTACTCAATAGTTGTATAGATTTTCGGTTGGCACTCTGTGCTGACTCTCTCTCTATTAATCACTGTCTTTTTTATCATCAACATGGTAAGATGTTATTCTCTGACAAAGATATTTTCTTCTTTTGGGGGAAAAGAGGTGGTATAATACTTAGGGGCACGTTTCCTTCTTCCTTTCTTGCTCACTCCTTTTTTTTTTCCTCTCTCAAGCCTTCCCTGGGATATCGTGTAAATATGAATTATTCATCTAGACTTAGAAATCAAGACTAAATGACAAAGAAGATCTACTACTCACCCGTCGTTGAGCAATAACAATACCTACAATAAAAACAGAGATTATAAAAACAGGGATTATAAAATACAAAAATTGGACAATGTCCTTGACTAAAATTCCTTTGGAATCATCACTTTCCCAACAGAGTAACCAATTAATACACTTACTACTGAGAAGTGATTATTTTCCCAAATGTTTTATTTACTCCAAGTAAACAAGAAGTTATATGTTAAGATTAAAAAAAACAATTATTTGTGAAATCAGAAATTTTGACTCACTAGAGAAGAAATAGGAAATAAACTTCCCACCTTTTGCAGCACTATTAACCCCACTAAGGCTCATAAGTTTAAATCAGACAAATGCATCCTACTGATCTATAGTATTTATCTGCACAAGGATAAAGTGCATTAAAAGAGAGCTTGCGCATTACTAAATCATCACATCTCCAAAAGCCTGAACTCTCCTTTAGGATGTATATATTAAGGGAAAGGTTCACAAAGACTAGACACAGACTGTAACAAAAACAACTTACCAGAAAGGCAGCTGAGAAGCACAAGCCCAGGAAGGGCAACGCTTCTTGTTGTCTTCATAGCGGAGATGGTTGTATAGTCTGTTACTTGCAAATCTGTTGCTGTTGAGTTCAGTAGATGGTTCTCAGCCTTCTCTCTCTGCACTATATATATACATCTCCTTGACCTTGTGAAGTCATCCCATAAAGTAATTATTTGCTCTGTAAACTAAGAAAATTGTATTGATTATTGAGTTGAGCTCTAAAGAATACTTGTTTGTTAGAGAGATGCCCAGAAGAATTAAACAAAAATGTGAGCTACACCCAGCTTGTTAACAAAGGCGCCCTGCTGTACAATGAGTGATTTGTACTTTCCAAACAAGAGCACTGTCTCAATAGTAGATGTTGTGAAATTACGTATGGTAGTTGGTAAAGCAAAAAAACCCGATTGTTGAAAGTGTTTCAACTTGTGCACACCATATTACACACATTAGGTGGTATTTGGGCTCCCGGAGAGTTGCACGGTACGCCAGGGTGGGGGGACAGCAGCATGGGACACTCTGAGCTTTTACAGACATAAAATTGGGTTTGGCAGGCATCAGTGTACCTTAAAGATGCTGAGGGCTCAATGAATCTCTCCACGCTGTCTCCTGTAGTTTCCTGGTACACTGGATTTCTCACCAACAGGAAGGAAGCAGTTATTGCAACAGGGAAGCATTACCTAAAACTTCAGAAGTTTATAAAACATTTCTATGTAGGAGCAAGAGTTATTAATCTGTTGGCACTGGGCATAAGTCTGATTAAGAAATTATGATAATAAGTAGCCTTAAATCTGGATCGGGATGTTTCCTTTTAATGGCAAGCAAGTGGTGTTCTGTGCAGGTGAAATCAGCTTCTTAATTCCAAAGACATTCAAGAAAAAATTGCAGCAGCTGCAAAGAGAAGGTGTGTCCTTGAGCTTCCCCTTTCCCCCCTCTATTATATGGCACTAAATTTAGAGTGTCAGCTGAAAGTCATGTTTCAGGGAAGATAGAAGTGAAGAATAGTGTGCTAGGCTCTGTTAAGTGGTTCAACTCTATCCAGTGTGTGGAAAAACAAATAAGGACTATTGCATAAAATCATACATTTTTGACTTAAGGTAGTCACAGAAGGAAGCGAAGGATGGAACGTGTTTGTGCGTTAGAAGAAGCTTGATTCATACATGTGGCTTGAAGGCAGCCTGAGTTTTAAATAGAAAATCAGAATTGTTTTTCTTATTATCCTGGGAGATGTTCAAGTCTTGGCAAGGGCATATAAATCATAAAAACGCAGCTGAAAGTGTAAGGGAACAGTAGTCGCAGAATAGAACTTGCGGGACTTTGCATCTTTGTATCAATGAAATCATTTTCCTGAAAAATAAATGAGTACTGTTATTTGGATCTCATTCACAAATAGCAGAAGTTGAAAGGTTCCTTTGAAAGCTGTTTCTGTTGTATTCTTAGCATCCTGAGTGACTTGACTTTCAGATTCCTTGAACTGATTGTGAGCATATTTGGAATAGAAGCAGTAATCACAGAAACATTAATATTGATTATTCTCCAGGGGCAAGAATGCCGAAGCCTGGAAACAAGGCTTCCTCAGAACTTGCACCAGCCGCTGGTGGAGATGGCACATGCTGGCTCTGCGGTGGTTAGTGAGGCTACAGGAATGTAGTCTGTGTCCTCTCTAGCCCTGCGACCTGAGCTTCTCCATACCCACCTCCCATCGGAGATCCCCAGTTACCAGAAACCGTGCTCCTTCTCCAGTTTGCCTCTCCTGCCCGGCTGAAATCACACAGCTCGCTCGGGAGCTGTTGCGAATGGCAAGGTATCTGCTAGGGAGCAGCATCATTCTCCTGTTTGGCCAACACCTGCCCTTTTATTAATTAGACCCGTTGGGGAAATCCCCCTCTGATCCGCAGGCTGCTTCTGAGGCTGGGTAACCAGCCAGGACGGCTCCAAAAGCAGCTCTTTTCCTCCAGGAATCCCTGCCGCTTCACATGGCAGCAGGGAGGGAAAAGAGAGGCAAAGGAAGAGTTGCTACAGGGTCCATGAGAAAGGATGGGAGATAATTGGTGGCAGTCAGGGCAGGGCGGCGAGAGCTGCTGGGCGAGGTGTGACGTGGGATTGCACAAGGAGCTCCATTAATAAGAACCAGAGGGAATGGGACAGAAGTAATTGCGGGGCAGCAGATGGGTTGAAAACAGGCATTAGGAGCAGTCACAAACAACTGCCTCCATGCATTTGGAAGAGCGAGCTTCGGCACAAGTCATTCAGGTTGCAAACGGGAAGGGCAAAGTAAACTCACGTGCCGAAACCCCTCGGTGATATTCAAGAGTATCATGATGGTGGGCTCAGTAAAGTGACTTTGCGCGTAGGATTATTTTAACATTTCTACAGATATGAGATCCATAGAAAAGTTTAAGTAAAACTCTTCCTGTTATTTCAAGTTCTTAGAGGTCAAACATTCAAGAAGGTTATGGCCACATGAATGGGATAAACATTGGTAGTCATATGGTGGATCCTCTTGTATTAAGGTACATTTTCAATAACTCTGGAAATTCTGACCAGTTTCTAATCTTCTATTATTCTAGTTTCTATTTCTTCCCATAGCTGTGATATTTTCCTGGGAATCTTTTCCTCTGTTCTTGAGACTCCCTATCTCAAGTAAGTCCATAATCTACTATGACCTGAAACAATCTTCATTTCTGTTCCCTGCTTTAGTTTAAAACATGCCACAGGCTTCATCTGGCTACAAAGAGAAATGATACTTCTTGATTTTTGGGGGGCGGGGAAGCTGGACGTGTGCATGCAAGACCGTGTGTTGTTATTCCAGCAGCGGTATCGCTGTCCTTGCTCCCGTACCCCGCCGTCACACTCCGCACCATGATCAAGAATAAAGTGGTACTATGCTCCAGCCTATGCTACTGTAGAGACAAATGCAAAATGCATTTCTTTGCCGGTGACTAGCAATGTGGCACACCGCAAGAGCTCCCAAAACAGGCTGCTATTCCCAGACCTCTGCACACGGGGGCAGAACTGGATCTTCTATGAGAACATGAATTCAATTCACAGCAAGCAGAGCCCCTGCTCTAAGCCGCACTCATCTCATATTTCTCCTTGTAGTTCAGTTATCTGATTGCTGCCAGCATATCTCCAGTCTTTTAAGCATAGATGATATCACAGGCAAGGGTGTCTGGAATAATTTGACTGTCTGGGAGGCGCATTCCAGCAGCAAAAGGCTGAGGACCTGGCCCTGCACATCCCAAGCCCTCAGCGAATCTTGGCTCTGCCTTGCTGCAATAGCTCCGACACAGCCAGCCCCCAAAAACGACATCTCCAAGTAATTTTCTTTTAAAACATCATTTTATTTTTCTCCGCGTTGAGAAAGAACATGGTAACAAACCGTTTATCCTGAATGAAGCCTCAGAGAGAAACTGCATTAACAGAAAGGTCTAGACTGGCCTGAGGTATATTTTGGCCAGCAACAAGTAGAACAATACACTAAAACAGAAGCATTGATATAAAATAGAGCAGAACAAAATAACTACATGCAATGTGTTAATCAGGTTGTGGGGTAATTGAATGGCATTTCCTAAATTCACAAACATCAGATAAAGACATAAAGTGCCGAGGTACTGCTTAAAGAATTGTACCATAAAATACCTCGGCAGGCAGACAATGTTTCCTGCCTTGAATTTCCTGGAGGGAGAGTTAGATTAGTAATGGTGAGAGGATTTTGTGTTGTTGTGGCAGGATTTTATTGAGCAGCAACAAAAAAAATTATTTCCAATGAGATGCCCATAAAAGAGGACTGTCTTCCTCTCCATCCCAAGGAGCTGCCCCCCTGGGGCAGGGGGCCGGGGTTGACCTGGGGTCCTGCTCCGCCCTCGGTTACTCCTGCAGAACTGCGTCAGGGTGGAGGAGTTGTGCCCGTTCATTTCGACTCACCGTTTCCCCTCAATTGCCTGGTGGATTTTCCTGCTTAAGCAGACACGGCCCCTGGACGATGCCCCCTGAGGACCACTGGGATCTTGAGCGCGATCGGGAGCTCCACTTCTGTCCAAGGCATGAGGGCTCCTGGGGGCCATCCTCACCCTCTCTGCTGCTCCCCACGAAAGAAAATAAGTGCTGGAGCTGTGTTCCCTTAGCCCCGATTCCCTTGCTCGGTGGAGGGGGCCAAGAAGGAGCATGAAACCCCTGAGCCACACACCCCCAGCACTACCTCCCAGAGCCTCAATTTGTCTTGGTCCCAAGAAACTGCATCTGCCTCTGAAATGCATTCCCACGCACACCCCCCTCTCACAGGAAGGACATTCAAGCCCAGGGAAGGGACTTGCCACTAAACGGTTGCAGAGAGTCATGTCTCTTGGAAATAAATTGTCTCCCTTCAGAGAGCGGGCTCGCTCCAGTGTCTGGAAAGTGACACATTGTCACTTAAGATCATTAACTATTTGACTGTGCCACACTGCCAGCGCTTCGCTGCTAATGAATAATAAATTAACGCTATGACTCTGAGCCCTTCCTTTCATCAGCCAAGATTTCCAGAGGCCGAAGAATCTCAAAGGATCCTCTACAAGCAACAGTCAACGTAATTACCTACAAGCAGCAGCTAAGTGGTGGGTGAGGTGTAGAAAGAGGCTGCGGTAGCGATTGCTAGCAGTCCTCCGAACATCAGGTCTGTTAGGACTGACTGCCCACTGGTTTTCTGCAATACCCCGCACCGATGAACGTTGCAAACACGAACATGGGCAGCCAGGTACCCGCCTGTCCAGAGAAAACATCCTGTCTCGTTGCTTTGGGAAGCAGAGCGAACTGCCAAAGGGCTTCTTCCACCTAAAGGTGGGTTTCCAACCCTGCTTGCAAGGGGAAGAGATGCAGCTGGGAAACTGCTCTTCTTCACCACTTCTCCTGTGGGCATAAGAAATCGGGACTAATCCTGGAAACTGAAACAGGGATGCGCAGCTCCCGGTACCAGCAAGACCCTCTGTGCCTTTTACAGAGCAGCCACAAAACACCCACAACTGCAACAGTCTTGGGACTGGCCCTAATTGTGTGGATGTTT